TCCTGGCATTTCAGGATACAACCAGCTTGACTTGTCCGCTACTGTTGCTTACTCCGCATCTGTGGCCTCAATCACACCCTCACCACCTCCCCCCACCTACATCGGGAAACAAGGAGTGTTTTTCTTCAAAAATAAGTGGTATGTGGTACAACGCATTACCAAACTCTCTCGCAGCATGTAAGCTTGTAAGTCACTTATTTACATTAAGCAGCGGTAAATTCGTGACATTAAATACTTATTATGGTTAATCGATCTTTTTCATTTTTTCTTTTTCTTTACTGTATCTCGGTTTTAGAGGCTCTGTCAACTATGAACTCTAGCAAAGCGGAGTAGGCTAACAGTGCCTTCAAAACAGTTCGAACCCCATCACATGCATTACACCGCGGACATCTTAGGGAGCTATATAACCTCTCTCTTAATATTTATAATGAATTCTAGAGATTTGTTGATAATTGAACTGAGCGGAAAATACTCGAACTTCTTTTTCTTCAATAATCATACCAAGTTACCTGGTTTTACATATTAACGCGTTTAATCAAAGTAATATTTTGCTACTACAGGATCCTGGAACAAGTTAGCTAGTAACCATTTAAGAATACAGGAAAGTCTGATCGAATATCGCCGAATATTAATGTACCGGTTAAAGAATGATTACCATACAATTTAATCAGAAGTTAATGGCAACAAAATATCAGGCTATATGTACCAAAGTGAACTACAAAAGTTTAACCCACCATTGTTTTTCAGTTTTCTCGTCACTATGATAGCTAAAACACTTCCAAATAGTGATTTAAGCAGACGAAACATGTAACAAACCAGATGAGCCGTAGTTGAAGATTCACCCAAAACTGGCTCTCCAGGAAACAAAAGTCCGAGTACTCTAGTTTCTATTAAATACCTTTGAAAACAATATCTATCGCTTCTTTTTATACCATCGTTTGTTCGAATGTCTATTACATTCCTGATGATGCCAACTGAAAGCTGGCGAAAGCTCGAATAAAGTATTTTCAAGACTGAAAGTCATGTTATTCATAGCAGTTCTATATTCGATTTACAAATAGGTTGTTTTCCATCAAATGGTACATTAGTATTCGACGATATTCGATCAGACCTTGCTGTATTTTTAAATGGTTACTAGCTAACTTGCTCCAGGATCTTGATTTATTATAAACATTAAGAAAAAGATTATAGGATAAAAGAGAAGGAAGAAAAGCACAAAAGAACATTACACAAGTAGTACATAGTACAATCCCAGCTCACTGAAAACTAAGTAAATGTCGACGCTGAAAATGTTTGTTATTATCTCGATGTTTTCCTGCTGGACAGTGGTCTGGAGAACGTGATCAAAACTCTTTCAAAATATCTGGGAAACATCTAAGATAAAATTAAAAGAGCGTTGCTTATGACAGTTTTCTGAAATTCCTCAAAAAGTAATTTAACAAAACTTTTCACGTCATATGTCATCAACAGAAACATGTCATGTTTCCTGTACGAAAAATAAACTTGATGTTATAGGGTTTGGTATATGATTTCGACTTCGGCGGTAATGATAGGTCGATCGATGTCGGTATTACCGGACTTTTCCAGAGGACAGAAAAGCGTCTTTGACATAATCGAATTGAATGAACGAGAGTCAAAAATAAATGCTGATGCTGAACATGGAAAAATACTGGTAAGAAGTAATTGTTAATACAAATAAGTATAATTTTAAACTCGATAATGCTACATAGCGTAATGTGAGCGGACAAATCAAGTTTGATGGTGTTCAATTTTCCTATGCAACTCGTCCAAATCAAATAGTGTTGAAAAACTTTAATTTGATATGTGAAGCAAAATCGATGACAGCAATTGTTGGACGGCGCGCCATACATGAAATATGTCTACAGATGAATGAAGGCGCTTTTGTGAGTGAGAAAATAGCAGTACTTGTAGTGCCTTCAATACAGTCTCATGTATGAGCGTCTTTTGAGTTCAGGGCCTGATCAGGTACGTGCACATAAAACATCCCGCCCAATGAATTTGTTCAACTGTGACCTCACGTTAATCACTATTTGTTTTAGGTTCGGGAAAATCTACAATAATTTCTTTATTGCAGCGGTTTTACGATCCAGAGAAAGGATCAATTCTGATTGATGGCATTGATATTAGAGAGTTGAATATAAGGAGTTTAAGATCTCTCTTTGGTTATGTTCCACAAGAACCGATATTATTTCGCAACACTATTCGAGATAATATTGCATACGGACACGTCATCCGTATATGACGTAATCAATTTTACGGCAATGGGATTACCTACGCAATGACTATCTGTGTGGGAGTTTTACATGATAGCTTTCTGTTATTGNGATCAATTCTGATTGATGGCATTGATATTAGAGAGTTGAATATAAGGAGTTTAAGATCTCTCTTTGGTTATGTTCCACAAGAACCGATATTATTTCGCAACACTATTCGAGATAATATTGCATACGGTGATACAACAAAAACCTTTACTGATGAAGAAATTGAGCATGCTGCAAAGCTCTGCCACATCCACGATGCCATAGTTTCATTGCCAGAGGTATACACTTACAGAATTTCTTATTGATTGTGATACTTGATAAATTTTCTTTAGGGATATCAAACGTTGTGTGGGAATAAAGGAAATCAATTGAGTGGTGGAGAAAGACAGCGCATTTGTTTCTATATTTTACAAAAACGACGTCCATCTTTTCCTGTTAGTAACCCCTTTTCTTGAAACTGGATAGATATTGCAAACTCATGTCTTCTCTTCACCCATGGCTCCCTAAGATATCCGCGGTGTAATGCATGTGGCTGAGTTCGAACTGCTTTGAAGACACTGTTAGCCTACTCCATTTTACTAGAGTTCATAGCTGACAGAGCATCTAAAACTGAGATACAATAAGCAAAAAGAAAAGATGAAAGCGGTCGATTAACGATATATGTCATGAATTTACTGCTGTTTAATACAAACAAGTGACTTACAAGCTTACATGCTGCAAGAGAGTTTGGTAATACGTCGTACCAGATATCACTTATTCTAGAAGAAAAAACACTCCTTGTTTCACTTAAAAAGTCACTGGTCTTTTACTTTCTGCATGTACCAGCAGCAATGAAGGCTCACAAAAAAACTTGTTTGCTAAGTGTAGAAAACTAAAAAACCTTGTGTGTTTTCTGCTCTGGTTTGTGGAAAATATCTTTCGATACCATATTCTACTGCAGCTACTTATAACACTTTTCTTCCATTCGTATGAGATACATAGAAGCAGATGTAGCGGAAAACTCAGAAGTGATTCTTAAACGACTAAAGGGGCCCACCTAGGCCGCTTATTATATAATAACCTTTGTTCGGGGAGGCTATCGATCTACCCATGAACTGAAGAGTTCAAAATACTTCTCAAAAATAGACTTCTTCCGCACATCAACTTTCTTTTCTTACCTACCAAAATACAGCCATGCAGTTCCTGATTGCAGAATATTAAAATCTTCCAATAAACACTGCAGGTAGTTATATTTCACCTGTGATATGATGTAGATTAGCGATATCTACAAGAATTAGGAACAAGATGAATCCAACAATTCGCACCAATGAGGATATTATTCTCCCATGTGCCCGTCGGTTCTGCATCGTCTTAACATTTGCTCAGTTTATGGTGAACTCTCTAAGTCCTAAGATACTCTTTAGAGTGTCAAGCTGTAATTAACCCTTTTGTTAATAAAAAGGCCAAACTGAGCCATGCATGGTAAAGTGAATTTAGTAGTACTAAAGAATTTTAGATCGAATAATATCAACCACTGGCAAAAAGCTTGTCAGCGCAACCTCTTGCAGGGCTAAAATGTGTAACTCTTCTAGCCATCGTAACATATTCGATTAGTGGATAAACAGTAATTACAAGTAATAAGAAAAACATTTTCTGCCAGATAATCAGCACAATCTCCATAACATTTTAAAATGATTTTTGCACCCGCTTAAGAGTCTCAATGCATATTTTTAAAGCGTTCTGCACCGGAGGGCGTAAAAATTCGTCAAATTGCTAAGGATTTGAGCATATAACTTACAATCCTCCTGCTTTCGGATTGGTTGGGAGGAGTAACACGAAAGGTTACAACAAAGCAGATCATATACTTCTATTGCCTTCGGTAACATGAAAAAGATGCATCAGACAATAACTGCTTTTATCCCACTCGATTTCGACTTTCAATAAACACTATCACCTTGCGTATTCCGCTGCACTAGATAAGGTATTATACCCCTGAGGCGAATGTTTAGCATGTGGAAAAACAGCGTCAGAATTTCTGATTTAATTTTCAAATAGATCGATCACTTACCCCTTGGAATTAGTGGCAGTACCACGAGTGGGCTCAGCCCACCATGAAACCATTTGAACCCACCCTGAAAATTTTTTTTTCTTTTCTGTATGAAAGTTTAAGAGCGGCGTAGGTAGGGAGAGAAACTAACTTGATTGGGAAAAATAAACACTACCCTTTTTCCTTTCCCAGTACAGTCGGGCTGAGCTCACCCTGGCTACAATTCCTGATACCGCCGCTACTTGGAATTACAGCCTGTCCAGTGCTCTGATTTGTAGTAGTTGTTCGCAAGCTCTCATAAAAGTTAATAGATGTAAAAAATCTTCTTTAACATTTTTCAAAAAGTTTAACCTGTTCGCGATGGCAAAATACAAGCGTCCAGCAGTAGATGCATTTTCCTGAAGGCTATTTCAATTAATATTGCTATGCTTGTTTTAGTAAACAGATTTAATGGACGCTTCTTTTGCCACCGGAATTCGAGTGGATGTTTCTTTTGGTATATTTGTCCAGCGAGCGCGTGTTTCAATATGCTGTTTTTAGCTAAATTACGAAGCGGATTAAAAGTAACGCTCTGAACTTTTTCAGCTCACCTACTGCGAGTACACTAACTACTATTGATGATGGTGGGCATTTCAAAACGTGTCTCCATGTACACGTTTCTTACCTCGACTCCCACTTTTCACTCCCGTTGGATGAACTATATGTACGACCACATAGCCAGAGCTCTAATTCGTAATCCTCATATATTGTTGTTAGACGAAGCGACATCATCGTTAGATCGGCGCAGTGAACAGGTTCGTTTTTCTTGTGCTCGTGTAATTACAATTATATGTGCTTATATATATATATGCATGTTCTTGTTGTAGCTGATCCAGGCATCTCTGAATCAGGACAGATGGAACCGTACGCGTGTAACCATCGCACATCGATTATCAACAATTAAAGAAAGTGATAAAATAGTTGTTTTGGATGTTGGAAAAATTAGAGAACAAGGAACACATCATGAATTAATGAACGCAGCCGGATTCTATAGTGAATTATTAAGAGCCGAAACTCATAATATGTGAAAATCAGCTTTTGTATCTCGACTATACGAAGAGTCACAGACTTAATTACCATACAACTTTAAACACTTTTTTAAAGCACTTGTAAACACACTGCAACTGTAAGCCATGAATTTATACACCTGTTGTCCTGTTTCGTTAATAAAGGAAAGTCTAGTGTGTATCGTTTAATTCTTTCTATTTTTACTTCTGTTGACACTATATTATAGTAGATTCCGATTTCCACTATAGTGCACATTAGAATAATCTGTATGATTTTTGTTTCTAGTGGAATTCAGAATTCCCTGCGTAATTTCCACTGTCACATATAGAAATGGAAGCATTCCATTTGTATACATACAGATTGTATGTATAGATATATGGGAGTGAGTTGCATTGGCATTATACCGTTTCGCATCGCATTATACCGTTCCAAATTTTCGTAAAACTCGCTTTTCGGAAGACTTTTAGAACTTTTTCTAAAAACAAATATTAGCACAAGACTCAGCATGATGGATTACCTATAGTCCACCCGTTTCCAAGGCTACCAATAGTCATCGGGTGCCACCCCTGGGACTCGCAGGAAATCCGACACAACACTCGAACCGCGGAAATTTTTGCGCACCTGATATGCTTTCAAATGGGTTTAAATTCAGTCAGATAGATAGTCCTGACATCAGGGAATCTATTGATGTATTATGAGTGTCAGTTATACTCCGTTTTGATCAAGTTATAGACAGAATAAGTCTTGCACGGCATTTTTGCTGTAAAGTGCACTTTTCTCAGGAACGAAGTGTTTCTGAAAGCTCGTTTTATTTTCACATACTAATTGTCCAAGAAAGAAAAAAGGGTAAAATTTTAGCCTCAAATGAATCACTCATCATTGAGTTGTAGACAAACAAATTTTTTAATTCTGGCAGGACATTTTGTGTGAAAACAACATTGTATAGCATATTCAAACACGGTTTTTATTGAGATATAAAGACTTAGAAAAAACCTTTTTGACCAAAAAGTTGAGCTACTCTTTCTCTATTTTGCTGCCTATTTGAAAACTTTTTAAATCATTTGCGTCATATGGAGACCGTCTTGCAGTCTCGCAGGATAAAATTTTGAAAAGTGTCTGTAACAGCAATTTTTCCTCAAGCTTTTATGAAAAACTTAATTTTACTTGAAATCAAGTACATAATTTGAAAGCCCTATTTTCAGGTTACAAATTCCATTAAAATATAATTTAGTAATCGGTAAATAGGAAGGAGGAAAACCTCCGTTTCTTTCGAGAGGCCAAAATCACTCAATTTTGGCCTTGTTTCATTCATATCTCGATAACCAAATGAGATAGAAACTTTTTCTTCAATACTGAATAACCATCTTTAAACAAACAAATCAAAAAAAATATTAAGTTTTGAAAACAGTCGGTGAACAGCAACGGTACAATGCCAGTGCAACTCACTCATAGATATGTCTAGATACAGTATTCCATGTCCCTGTGACCGAATGTCCAAGGGACATTTTTTCCAATGTCATATTGTGACAGTAGCTCAGTTCGAAATTTACAGACTGGTTTCATAAGATAGCTGGATGCAATGCTCATCAACATCAGTCTCAAAAACAAAACTGCACGCTGTGTCTATGAACAGACTAAATATTCAATCGTATTATGATAGCTAATTTAAAAAATGTTCATCCAAAAACGAATAGTTTTCTAGGCTAAGATAGTCTGATATTATATTGGTTGACAAGCACAACGGTTATAACTGCCTTCTGCAGGAAGAATAATTAATTTGTTAAAATTAAAAATTGTTTTAGACACAAATTTTTGTTTTGGATATTTAGTCTGTACTTTATACATTAGGTTCTGATTTAAGCAATGGTGATAATGATCAAAAAAGTAGTATGGATGTTGATTCTGATGCTTCATGTGAGTCAGACGGTAGTGAGGATATTACAAATGACATAAAAGAATTCAGAAGACTTTCAGAGAACTTTTGAGCTACTCACTGAAAAATATAATCAAAATTCATGCAGGATGCCGCAGGACTTTGCTCAGGATCCCGCGGGTTGTCGGTATTAAAATATCTGGGGATGTTTCTTACCTTTACGCAGGTTTTTTATACTGCCAGCCTTGACAGAACCCTGTACAGTTTATGTAGAGTTAGCATGGGACAAATCCTGCATAAAGGTAAGAAACATCGCAAACCGGTGTCGCGGAGTTATACCAATCTTACTAATGCCAATGATATAAGTGTCTCGATTTTATGCCAATAGATATAAAAAAAATGCTTACACCAATATTGGTATAAACGAAAAGTACTTACACCATTGGTGTAAGAGTTGAAAAAAAAGAAGGTATTGGCTTAAGTACACTAACACTTTCAACTGTGTGACTGATAGCATTTGAAATAGCCTTTCAAACTGTCCCAGGGCCGTATCATTATCAAAATAAGCGTCTGTTCCTATATTAATACTAGCTGTTGCTGTTCGATCGATATAATTGACATCACTATCGACACTTAATGTTATATATTTTGCAGTAGCTTCTTTCCATTCATT